AGGCCCCAGTCAGATGACCAAAAGTCCCAGTGGCGGGTCATCACATGACTAAGACCCGCGTCAGGAAACACTTGTCCTGTTTTCTCACGAATCTTACCTAACCTAACCTACTCAAGTACTGTATACAGACGACTGTACTCTGGCATTTACTTATCCAAGAGAGGAAATACCAGGTGCTCTAAGTTAAATAAATCGCCAGCTTACAGCTATATCAGCCCGGGAAAACGATGGCAGGTTACATATGCTTCCGAGAAAACGCAAATGATGATGATCTCTGGGAAGCATCGTAATGATGGAGCGGTTAAGAATGAATGGGAGAGTGTTGGAACCCGGGGAAGAGGTGAATAACCTAGGGGTAAAATCTGATTCCGAGCAGTCTATGAAGAGCCACTGCAAGGCAGCTAAGAAGCTCACAACACTAAGGAATGTCTCGTACCTGCTCAACAGGAGAGGCTGCAAAACTCTGTGAGGAACAAGTACGGTCAAACCTTGAGTATGCCCCACTTTCTTCGATTGCTTGCCCCCGCCTCGTCTACGACTTTTGGACAAAAGTACGTATCTCTCACCTGGACCCGTCTAGGATAGATCTATGTATCATTTCAACAGAGCCTTCAACACCGGGAGATGTGAGTGGTGTTACTGTTATGTACAAGACCAATGTTGTTAAGGTACCACACTTGTCTCCACTACGTAGTCATCGAGAAAACTGTTGACATACAACAAGACGGGCAGTGATCAACTATACACTGGCTGTACACTTCTCAAGAACACCTTTTCATCTGAGATCAGTCACTCCTAGAATGACTCGAGTCTGGAACATGTCCGTACAACATAATGAGTTAGCAATAAAATGAAGTCAATTGAACAGATGGCTCCAACAATAAAAAAAAGGCTTTCAAATGAGCTGAGATATATAACAGCTCTAAGCTTGTAAATATAGGAACTCTTAACCTAACCTTGTAGAAACTCTTATGTAAATTAAGGGGTAGAGAAAGAGAGAGAGTTCTTAAATATTTTTTTTATATCCATTATAATCCTGCCTTTCCATTAGTACCTTCCTCAGAGGTGCTGTCGTGTACGTCACTCATCACCTGATTTTTGTTGACACCGCCGCCATGTTTGTGGCCTGCACACCACCCAGATTCAGCTGTAACAAAAAACAAAAACAGTCGCTAAGCTGATATCTTTTCCCTTAAGTGCACAAGAAGTGTAGCCACTTGTTGTGGTGCTGAAGACAGCAGCTCAGGGACGGATTACCGAGAGATTTAAACCCAGATCTTTACCTGCCGGCCGGATCATCCTGGGAATTATCATCGTTAAAACGGAATAAGTCTGTTTCACTCTTAAGTTTTCTCGCGCACCGAGTGCTTACGTAATTATCTGTTATTAATATATTTCAGTTTCAGGAGTTGAGGTCCAGCTCTTGGGACGTCCTCTTAATTAACTCTCGGCTGGCTGAGGTAAATTTCTACTTTTATTCACTTGTCTGTACCGTGTAAGTTAACCTTGTCTATACCGTGTAAGTTAACCTTGACTGTACCGTGTAAGTTAACCTTGACTGTACCGTGTAAGTTAACCTTGACTGTACCGTGTAAGTTAACCTTGACTGTACCGTGTAAGTTAACCTTGACTGTACCGTGTAAGTTAACCTTGTCTGTACCGTGTAAGTTAACCTTGACTGTACCGTGTAAGTTAACCTTGACTGTACCGTGTAAGTTAACCTTGACTGTACCGTGTAAGTTAACCTTAACTGTACCGTGTAAGTTAACCTTGACTGTACCGTGTAAGTTAACCTTGTCTGTACCGTGTAAGTTAACCTTGACTGTACCGTGTAGACCAAGCTTGACTGTACCGTGTAGGCCAAGCTTAACCGTGCCGTGTAAACCAAGCTTGATTGTAGCGTGTAAGCCAAGCTTGACTGTAGCGTGTAAGCCAAGCTTGACTGTAAAATGTAAGTCAAGCTTGACTGTAGCGTGTAAGCCAAGCTTGACTGCAGAGTGTAAGTCAAGCTTGACTGTAGCGTGTAAGCCAAGCTTGACTGTAGCGTGTAGGCCAAGCTTGACTGCAGCGCGTAAATCAAGCTTGACTGTAGCGTGTAGGCCAAGCTTGACTGTAGCGTGTAGGCCAAGCTTGATTGTAGCGTGTAAATCAAGCTTGATTGTAGCGTGTAAGTAAAGATTGACTGTAACGTGTAAATCAAGCTTAACTGTAGCGTGTAAGCCAAGCTTGAATGTAGCGTGTAAGTCAAGCTTGACTGCACCGTGTGGGCCAAGCTTAACTGCAGCGTGTAAACCAAGCTTTACTGTAGCGTGTAAGTCATGATTGACTGTAGCGTGTAACTCAAGCTTAACTGTAACGTGTAAGTTAAACTTAACTGTAGCATGTAAGTCAAGCTTGACTGTAGCGTGTAAATCAAGCTTAACTGTAGCGTGTAAGTCAAGCTTGACTGTACCCTGGCCTCATTCCTCCTTGTTTATAATCTTTCACGTTTAGTGGCCAG